TAGGACCTTAAAGATTAACTCTCTTACATATCACAGCTTTTGGATGGATATTAATTTATTTTATAATGAGAAAATATTCTTTTGACAATAATTTTTAGTGCACAGAATATCCTTCCATACACTGATTGTTTTTCTTAACTTACATTCCATTAATTTTGAGAAATTTTATACCCATAGATTTCTTTCCAACAAAGTTTCAAGAAATACGTATTGTTTCCCTAAATTTTAAAGCAAATATTTCTATGAACTCTTTTGGCATATTGATTTATTCGATTTAATTGAAGTTTTCAAATATAATATCCTCCCTTTGACATTCAAGAAGTTTTTACGCATAAGTTCATGTTTTTAGTGACACAAGCATATATACAAGTACAAAACTCAGGCATGCTGAAGTCATAGTTTTAACATTTCAGAATGCAATGAAGAAGGATATACCATTAAAAACACTTGAAATATGAGGAGAAAAAAAAAAAATGAAAAGCTAGTTGCAACATTTTACACTTTTCATGTTCTTGACAAATCAGAAATTGTAATCAAATTTTAGTATAAAATAGAATATTTACTTGTATAATGTATGATTTATTAAAAAGTAAGTCTTCCATTACAATTCTGATTTTTTCTGTTTCTAATTCAGTAATGTAAAATAATAATGAGCAAATCTATTTGACTTTCATTAGTTTAACTCACCACAAACCACAAGACTGTCTGACAAACGTTGTAAAAAAAAATTATCTTCATTCAGAAGCCTGCAGTCACACATATCTGGTATCTGACAATGATTCATCACTCGCAAGATTTTTTCATAAAGTGCTCTTTTCAAACATACTTCACATCCTGTTAAGAGCGTTGTGTCAACTGACAGCCATCTACAGAAATGTAGGGGAAAGAAGACCAAAGTGTATCATTTGAACATGTCATAAGCATTTATGGCCAAGTTTGGGCTTTGTGTATATATGTCTTAAACATTTTTGAGAAATTTCAATTTGTGTAAACATGTCTTAAGCAGTTTTAAAGGAAGCTCTGAAAACATTTAAACACATCTTAAGCAGTTAAAGAGTTGATCTAGGGCCATAGAAAGTAGGACAGGAAAAATTTAAATGTTCCACATCTTGATGTTTTTTTTTTTTTTTTTTTTGAAACAATCACATAATTTACTTGAACTTAGACTGAAATGAAAATAACTTGCAACTTTACCATGAGCAGATAAAAACTGAGATTCTTTCAAATTTGCAAGAAAAAAAGATCTGGAATTCTATCTATAATTAATAGAAGGAAAGAATTTTTTGGTGTTCCCAGCATTACAAGATAAAGTGTATTCTTTATTGCACTTAGGTAGAAGCTGCTTCCAATAATTGTAACTTATAATTATATCAATGGGTAAATTTAAAACATTTTTAGCTAAGAAATTAAAATCTTCCATTTCCATAAATTTCATGATGGTTACTCACATAAGCAAAATGGTAACTCACATAAGCAATTGCCCTACTTCTAAGTAAACTAACAGCTAAGAAAGTTCAAATACATTTTTTAAACTTGTAGTGGATGGCACTTGATGTTAATACAGTTTTTTCATATATTAAAGTCAATGCCTACTTATTTATTCCTGTTTATCGGAACTAAAGATATTCCGTTTTTTTTTAATATATTATAAGACTTACAAATAATGACCATTTATTAGGAATTCTCACGAGCTGTAAAAATTAATTTTATAACAACTTATAAATGACTGTGATAAATGGGATTGTAATATTTAACAAAAATAAGTGGCAACAGTAAAGATTTTTAAAGTGTATGGAATTAAAGAATTGTAGTTTTATAGAGTTGGATGAAGCGGATGTAATGTTCCATTATGTAGAGATAATTCTTCCCATATTTCTATGTTAATGTGATAGTATATGTATAAAATATTAAAAAAATGGTTCTTCCTTATTAAAATAAATAAATAGCACTGTAGATTATGCAGTAGTATATCTAGGACGAAAACTCTTAGCAGCAGGTCAAGCATATCACCTTGAATCCTGTAAAATCATGAATAGGAAGATGGAATATTAATTGAAGAATTTGTCTGCTCAAAATTCGCTGGAAAGGTTCCTTGCAATAATGAAGCATTACAAGAGATGTATAGAATGAGAAATTATAGACCACCATCAGCTTCATAAATTAGAAACGAAACATTGTTAATAATGTTAATAAAAAGTAACTAAAATAAAATTTTTCTTTGTTGACTAAAGTAGGAATTGGCTTTAAAAAAAAATTTTATATGACTTGTTTTATAATAAAACATTCCTAAACGTAATAGCTAGATGTTAAAAGATAATGATATATGTACTCCCATGCTTTTAACTCTTATAAAGCACTATTGTTATCTTGAAATATATCTAGAAAAAAGGCCAACCATTTGCTGACTTGTCAACTTAAAAGATTTTGTTACTACATCTTTCAGTTTTTGAGCTCTCATGGCATTCTTTAAAAGGTTTTACCATATCAAAAATTACTAATCTACAATATTCATTCTGCTTATTTAACAAAATCAGTCTGGTGTGTAGTAATTTAAATTGACAAACTCGACATTATTTTAGCTTAGTTGTCTAAAATTTTGTGATGTCATGTAATAATTTATGATGATGCAACAAAAAATGTTGATAAATATACACTGCTTGATATTGAAAATGCAACACCAAGTAGGAGTGGTCAAAAAGTGATGAAATTTGGAAAAAAGATAGAGACAGCAAGCAGCAATAAGTGATCTTTATTTCAAAATGATAGTCAGAATACAGAGCGAGAACGGTGTCGGCTCAGTAGGATGTAGGACCACCACGGACAGCGATGCACGAAGAAACACATCTAGGCATAGAGTCAATAAGAGTGTGGATGGTGTCCTGAGGGATGGTTTTCCATTCTCTTTTAACCATATGCCACAGTTCGTCTTCTGAACGAGGCAGGGGCAGAGTCTGCAAACGGTGTTCAATCACATCCCACACATGTTCGATTGGTGACAGGTCAGGAGAGTGCGGTGCCCAGGGAAGCATCTGTATACCTTGCAGAGCATCTTGGCAGATGCAAGCACTGTGTGGTCGGACGTTATCCTGCTGAAAAATTGCATTAGGCAGTATCTGAAGGTAGGGACTTGCCACCGGCCGCAGTACATTATCCAAGTATCATTGGGCCATCATAGTGCCCTGAATAGGTGACCTGGAATCGTATGCAATAGCGCCACGTTGTTGCGTGGTGGGATGTTCCACAGTTACTGCCGAATTAGGTCTGTCGACACCGCACACGTATGCGGCGACTGTCACTGGATAAACAGAAGCATGACTCATCTGAGAACACGACGTTTCATCATTCTGTCATCCACATCGCTCCAGTCCGGCACCATTCTAAATGTTGGCGTCTATGCTGTGGGGTCAATGGCAGTCTTCTTAACGGACGCCGTGAGTGCAGGCCATGTTCAACCAATCGACGGGAAATGGTTCTGGTCGACACGGGAACATTTAGGATATCTTGCACATGCTGCAGAATCGTGGGACCTCCACAGCTTGTCGGCGGATGTGTCGATCCACGCGTGCTGATATCACTCTTGCTGCACTTGCACCACTACTTGTTCCCACATTTTTCTTGTTCCAACCATGTTCGCCATAGCCGACGCACCCTGCTCGCATCCATGTGGGTATTAGCTGTGATTTGACGTAAGGACCAACCTGCCCTTCTCAGTCCGATCACCACACCCCTCGTAAAATCGTCTATCTGCTGGAAGTGCCTTCGTTGACGGCGGCCTGGCATTCTCTCCTACACACATATCCTCCGGGACAAAAACCAATTTTCTTCGATAATTCGTCTGGCAGAAATAACGACACGAATATTGCCCATTCTGCACGTTCCTTCCCTTATATCTTACTTCGCTTGCGTCGGAGAGCTGCATCATCATTCGCATAACTCAGTGACGTGCGTCTACTCTAAAATTTGCATAAATTTCTGACCACTCCTTCTTGGTGTTGCATTTTCAATGTCGAGCAGTGTAATATGGTTGACATCATTTAAATATAGAATAAATGGCATAGTTTTTAATATCAAATGGAATTTTCTCTTGGGAAATGTGTCTAATATTTCAACAAGTGTTTTAATAAATCTTGAGAAGTCATCTTGCTGTGCTAACATTTGAGACTGAAAATCTAGAGGCAAAATCTAGATTTTTGTTAAACTTCTTAATGATTTTTATTATTTAACAATAACAATATGTGTTACTTGTCCTCTTAAATTATTTTTGCTTTTTTCAATTGAAAAACATTTCTGCATGCTGTAGCTCTAGAATTTGCTAAATTGATAAGTTAAACATATGTAATTGTTAATTTACATAATGCAACTCATTTAATTTTCTACCATATTATAAAAAAGTAAGGAAAATCAATCTTTTTGTATTATTATTTATTATGTGTTACAGAATACTCTTCTGGTCTGATACTTATCTAGTTTGCCTATGCTAATATTATGTTGCCATTAAATTTTTCTAGGCTTCTTTAGTTATATGATTTGATACTTACTATATATTTTGTAAGCCCTCACTAACTCATAAAAAAAAGAAGCATGAATTAATGAGATTACCCTCTTTCTTTGTTGTAATTATTAAATTCAATACTGACTATGAAAATGTCCTTGTTATTTTAATAATAAATTCAGTGCTGACAATAAAAAAAAAATTCTTATTCAACTGTGAAATCTTTTTGTGTAAAATATTTATTAGATATGAATGCCATACAGAAAAGCAAGTAAGCTTTGTACCATCAGCTTTTTGATAATAAAGTATAAAAAGAACCATTAAAAGCATGCATGAGATATGTTTACTAACCATTGAGATTTGCTGACCATGCTCTGACTTCTTATAACTTATAACTATCGTATGTATAAAAAAAAAACTATTTAAAATCTTGCCTTTTAAATGTAAGTATATAGAACTGAATAGTATAGTAGTCTCGGCTTGATAATCATTTTATTTATTTGTTTAGTTATGTTAGAAGCTTCTGCAGACAACATTCTTCAACAAGATTTTATGAAAGCTCTGAAAGCAGGAGTAAAAGAAACCCAGCGTATCATTCAAGTTATTAAAGAACTTCAACAAAATTATGGTAAACCTAAAAGAATTTTTGAAAATTTACCAGAGCCTTCAGCTGAAGTTATGGAATCTGCTAAACTGTAAGCTTAATTCTTCCTGTTTCTTGATACCAGTCTTAAATTTATTATTTTAAAAATTCTTTTCACTTTAACTGTGTTTAATTCTTTTTTCCCAGCCTTTGTGAAACTAAAATTACTGAAGTTCTAACAGATGCAAATTTTGATAAGGTATAATTATTTCTATTTATTTTATTTAAGTTTTTATTATACATAATTAATAAAGTGTTTTAGAGTGTGATAGTCAGTTGTATTCTTCTAATTATTATTATATTTAAATTTAGCAATAAGTTTTCTTAATGCAAAATTCAAAGAAATTTATTTTAGTGTGATAAAATTATAGATTCATTTGTGACACAATAATTTATAGTATTTCTAAACTGTTTATGTTAGCTTGCCTATTGATGTTACAACAAAAATGTTAAAAATTATGCAAGTTTTAATTCTATATTGAACAAATGTTGACATTATAGCATTTGTATTATGTAAGAAATTTGTTTTTGGTTTATCTATGTTTTGCAAATTAATTTTTTAATTTAAAGAAATAACTAGGTCATACTTGGGGCTAAAAATTCTAATAGTATTATTCTGAAATGAATTAAATGTGAAAATGTTAAAGCCAGTAAATTGAAATGCAGGAAATTAGCTAAGCTGAGGCTTTAATAACTATATTTTGACAAATTTATGCATTTGGTCAAGCCATTTTAAACTTAACAAAAGTGTAGTGAATCCTCTTTTTCACATGCCTCTGTTATTTCTAAAAAATATTTCTAAAAATTTACCAATATTTCTAAAAATTAAAAAAATATTTATAGTGAAAATATTGTTCTTCAAAAAAGACCACTCTAACCTGCTCAAAGCCAGTAAATATATTTAATGGTGACTGCAAAAATACTTGAATTTCAGAATCAATTTATAATATTTCAAATGTTATATCCATTTCCTGTGGATGATCGAGTCATAATTTCAAGTTGTTTCGGATCAGGTTAGGAGAGCATTAGATTGACAATCAAAACTTCAAGATTTCGCAGAACACAGAAATAACATTTATTAACGATAAAAACTTGAAGATATAATGTATTACTTCCGCCTATAGCTGCCCTGAGAACATAATCAAGCATCAAACAATATAAGGCATGTGTCATTCATTATGTTCAAGCATCAAGTAGAATATTTTTTGTTCGGTGTGCAGCAAGAGCACCATCTATCTCCCAAATGATCTGCCCTGATGAACATTGGTTCATTACAACATTATTATAAAGATCTTCAATTTTAGATTTAAACAAGTTTCCCAAACGTTCAGCAATATATCATATAAAATAACAATGCATAATGGCAAATTTAAATTGAATAACAGCATTAATTTTAGCACAAAAATTTACAAATAAAACATACTTACAATCTCTAGAGTGAAAACAAAGTAACAAAACTAATGAAACTGCTAAATTACCATAATCCACAACTGTTAATCCATTCGCTGAATCTGAAACATATTACTGAATTAATAATAGTAAAGACACAAATTATGAATATACAATTATTATTATTATTATTTTCGCCCAATACAATTTTTAGTTTCACAACATGAACTTTTCCATCAGCACCAGGATATAATTCAATTACTCGTCCAAGTCGCCACTTTAATGGAGGCAAATTTTCGTCCTTTATTAAGACTAAGTCATCGAGGGCTAAATTTGGTTTATCCCTCAACCATTTGGTACGCCCTTGTAACTGTGAAAGATAATCTCTAGACCAACATTTCCAAAAGCTCTGGAAAATTTGCTGTGTCAATTTCCATCTTTCAGCAGGGGTTAGCTTATTATTTATAAGATCGGGTTCAGGAACTGCTGTTAATGTAGTCCCAATTAGGAAATGTCCAGGTGTTAAAAAATTAAAATCGTCAGGGACAGATGAGATGGAAACTATTGGCCTGGAATTCAAACACGCCTCGATTTGTGTAATTAAGGTGTAAAATTCTTCGTATGTTAGAAGCTGTGTCCCAATAGTTCGCTTTAAGTGAATCTTCATTTGCTTCACACCAGCCTCCCAGAGGCCTCCAAAGTGAGGTGCAGCAGGAGGGTTGAAGATCCATTGAATATTTTCACTGCTCAGGTAGTTTTGAAATGCTTCCTCAGAGGAAAGTGTAGCTATGTCTCTTCTTAATTCTCGATCAGCCCCAACAAAGTTGATTTCTCTATCTGAAAAGATTTTTCTTGGGTTTTCCTCTGCGCGACACGAATCTTTTCAGAGATGCTAGGAATGCTTCAGTTGTTAAATCACTAACTACTTCTAGGTGAATGGCCTTTGTGGTGAAGCATATGTAAAGGCAAACATAACATTTATACCTCGCTCCCCCTTTTCCTTTTTCAGCTTTTATTAAGAAGTGTCCTGCAAAATCCAGTCCTGTATTCAAGAATATCTATCGGGCAATATGCGAGAAGCTGGTAGATTGCCTATTATCTGACTGGATGTGCTTGTTTGATTTTCAAACATTTTATACATTTCCAAATTATTTTTCTTACAATTTCTCGGCCATTAATGATCCAATATTTCTGTCGCTGAGCAGATAATGTTAATGTGGCTCCTCCATGAAAGTTCACTTCGTGAAAGTGTTTGACTACCAATTCAGTAACCTGGTGACTTTTGGGAAGAATGATTGGATACTTTGTGTTTTCTGAAAGATTCGAGTTACAGAGTCTACCACCGACTCTAAGGATTTCTTCTCTATCAAGGAAAGGATTTAATTTCAGGATTTTACTGCTGAGATTCAATTTCTTCCCTGCTTTCAAAAGTCTAATTTCTTCTCTAAATTCGGAATTTTGTATGATTTTGAAAATCAAATTGCTTGCCTTATCCAGTTCTTGAATTGTTAAAAAACCCTTGAGTTTTAAAGATGTAGGGTTTAATATTGTTGCAGAATCTAAACACCATGCAGTTACGCATTTCAATTTTTTCCAGGATGAAAACCTGGATGTCAATTCAAATTCAGTCTCTTGGCTAATAACAGAGCATACAGTAGTTTGACACTGTTCTACGTGTACTTCTTCTACCATAGGCTCAATCAAAAGATGATGAAGGTAGATTTTTCTCTTTCATCTACACTGATCCATTGAACCAAAGTTTATTTCCTACTAGATCAGAAGCTCTTAATCCACTTGAAACTATGTCAGCCGGACTTTCGTTTCCCTTACAGTATTTCCATTGCAAAGGTGATACAAGTTCTTGTATTTCACGTACACGATTAGCAACAAAGGGTTTCCATTTATTAGCGGTACCCCTGATCCAGTGAAGAATGATTTTAGAGTCACTAAAACAAAATACATTATCTTCTTGGATATTAAACAATTTCCTTAAATATTTAACTATTCTTGCGGCAATAATGGCTCCCATAAGTTCTAAACGAGGCAAGGTTAATTTTTTAAGTGGGGATACACGGCTCTTTGAAAGCACAAAAGACGTACAGCAAGAATCAGGATCACGAAAATATGCAACAGCTCCATATCCCTTGAGGCTGGCGTCACAAAAGACAAAAAGCTCTATTTTGTCAAAATTTACAAAAAGCTCTATTTTGTCAAAATTTACATATTTATCATTTAATATATATTTTCTAGGAATACACAAGTTGAGAATAACTTCAATTTCAAAGTACCAAGTTTAAAATTTTTCGCTCAAATTTACTAACGTTATCACATAAATTTTTCTGCTTTATGTGATAATGTTTGACCATGGCTAGTTTTGTAACATTAAACTGTAGAAAAAAAATGTACTTCAGAATAACAATAAAATTTAGCTACTTTAATGTAAATATAATTAGAAACATAAATTCTTACTTTCACAGTCCTTTTTAATTAGAGAAAAAGTCATTACCAGTTGATTATCTATCTGCATGTGTTATGCTAAAATTCATGTATGAACTTTTTCTAATGTTTCTGAAAATTATTTAATCCACGCTGTATTCCTAATCTCTAATCTCAGCATCTGTAGGAATTTCGGATTTCATCTTCATCCTCTTCAGAGAGTTTACCATATGATGTGCTTTGTTTCAAGAAATTGTTGGTAGATATTATCTGGTTTTAATGGTAGAACTTGAATTTTTCATTAGTATCCACCCATGCATTAAATTAATCACAAGTCATGTTAGTTGGAGACATTGCCTTTGTTTTCCTCTATTTCATTATTAAAAGTTTGGGTACTATCGGATTATCTGCTCAACTTAGTCAAGAATCACCAAGCAAAGCACAATGTTGCCAAAATAGGCAGCTCAGAATTTTATGAAAATGTATTTATCTGAGGACTACTTCGCAACTCTTGACCCACTAATGGTTTTTGCATACAATGCCGCCATCTGTCTTTGTCGTGATAATATTACTTTGCATGGTTTTGAAATTTGAGGATCATGGTTGTGGTTTCTGTTGGTTTTGATTAATGTATGGAGTACCTCCCCTCATGAAAAATCATAATGCCACTGTATGCTTGCTGAGGAAAAAGAAAGTATTGTATTTTTTCAGAAATATGGCAATTTGCCTACTAGTAGAGACTGTGGGATTGCTCACTCCATTAAGTTAATTTGTGCAATTCTCTAACATTTTTACTTCCTTCTATGAAGTAAAGGAAGTATTGTAATTGCAAAAAATTTTGAGTATCAACAAAAATATCCATTTTGACTGCTATCAAATGCAATTTAACGATGTTTTCGAGTGACATCTGTATGTAAGAACAGACTAAAGGACTCTTTTTCCCAAACTGGATTCGGAAGAGAATTTTTGTGTGCGTCTGTACGTATGTATCTCATATAACTCAAAAATGAGTAGCCTCAGAATGTGTAGTTGTGCACCTCCTTTTATGGTTAAAATCAGCCACACCAAAATATATATTATGTATACCGCTGTGTTACTCGGTTCAGTGAGTTCAGTTCTTTATTCTTATATGTTGGTAAATTGTCCATTTTTTGCTTTAAAAATGTTTGAATTATGTTATTCCTATGTTCTGCTTAATTTTTTTATGCCTTTAGTTAATCTGCATGCAAAAGTTGTGGAATTATTAACAATTTAAAGGTTGTTTTAAGTGCGGCTAAACCTAATAGAGCAGCTATATTTGTTTACATTTGAAACTTAGCAGAATAGTGAATTAAGTCAGTTTCTGTACCTTCAGTGTCTTTTTGCCAAGTGGGACCAAAAGTAAACTTTCAGTTTTGTGCACCGAAAAATGTGCCTCTTTGTCTACTGGCTGAATTGCTTGTTTTTGTGCAGAAACTAATTTTAATTATAAAAACTTTTTTAATTGTTTTAACTGCATTTGGTGTTGTATGTTTTTCTATATTTTTCAATTTTTAATGAAGGTATTTTGAGTTTTTATGTATTTTTGCCTTGGTGTGAAGTGAGAACTGAATTAATTGAATGAGAAATACATCTATAATTAAATTCGCAGAAATAAATTGAAATGAAATGCAGTAAAAAATGTGCAGAATTTAATATGTCGTACAAGGAAGTCATGTTCACATGCAATTTTTTTTTTTTTTTTTTTTTTTTTAAGTTAAAACAGGTCAATGTATATATAAAGACCAATGCCAAGAATTCTGCACTTTTGTGATGTTTCTTTAAGCAGATCACTGTGGACAGAAGACTGACAAAATAGAAAAATAAGCGCCTTATTATGGATGTTTGTTGCATTTTTAATTTAGAACCTATTTTATGAAATGTTCTATGTGCTGCCATTTTTTTTAAATGGCTTCTGAGTTTTATACATTATACTGGTGAAAAAGTAATCATGAATGATTGGCCACTTTGCTGTAGGATTAGGCGTGTAATGCAAGAGTATCAAAAATTGTCTTCCTTAAAATGGTTCTTCATTGTCTTTTCTGAGATGAAGCATTAGGAAAGTTTTTTTTTTTTTTTTTTTTTTTTTTTTTTTCATTTGCACTTATTCTATATAAAGAATTCTAATATTCATCTTATGACAAAAATATCCTAAAATAACACATATCACATGATCATCATAGGACTGTGGTATCTGCTGATAAATTAACAACTTATATATACTTAAGAAAGACTTTGTGTTATTGTGCCATTGTCAGTAAGAAGAAAGATATCATTCTTGAGCTCATTGTTCTATTTCAAAAACCATTCATTAAAAATTACTGATAAGCATTGAGGATTTTTTGTTTCTTGATTACTAATAGCTTTCTTTTTTTACCACCGATTGCTGCATAAAATGGTCACGTGATCTTTGGATATTTTTACAGCCTTCTGAACTTTCTGTTTTAAATAAATATGTTTGTTGAAGTTCTGCACAGTACTATACACCTCATTTGTGTATATCATAAATGTTTTCAGGAGAGTACTTTGTAGACAATTTAGGCCATTCATTTGACAATCATTTTCCTGCATTAAGTTAGAGTAAGTTAGGTTATTCGAATATGGCAAAACCATGAGAGCTGTTTGCATAAGAGAAGGAATGCCTTTCATGGAGGATTTTCTGATGGAAACGGGCTAGTATTCATGTTACACATGAAGAAAACCATGAAAACTAACCATACAGCCAGCCCAGTGTTTGGGTTTGAATCCAATCCAGGTCAAACTACCAGTTTCAGCAGTCTTAACCACTGGTAGGCCCCCTGCAACTGGTAAATTAACAATATTTTAACTACAGTTGGAAAATTAACACCAAAGTCTGCCAGGAGATGCTGTGCCACTGTTATCCTATGACAAACCATTCCGATGCATAAAATGTGCACACCATCCTGCTATTCTTGGGAAGTTGTGGCTTAGCTTCATCTGACTAGCTTCTTCATGAGCTTGGAAGCATATCAAATCACCAGTTACAGCATAACTAGAACTTCTCATTCACATATGATGAAACATTATTTTCAAACTGTGGATGCTTAACTGCTTTTCCATGAAACATCTTCCTTTTGCTGCTTCTTCCTTGAATTTCATTCTTGTTTTCTTTACTGTTGTACATTGGATTAATGATGTGCTGCTACTCAATTCCTATATTCTTCTGATAATCTGATAACTTTCAGTTTAAAATGCGCATCTAAACTAAATTGTTTCCCCAACATTTTCCTTCAAAGGACCTTCAAGCACAATTAAACTTGTGCAATTCTACGTAACATTCTCTCAACAGGAATAGATTTTGCACTTAATCGTTAACCACTTCACCATCATACAAAGCTCAAATATTTGCTTCTTTTCTTCTTCCCCCCTCCCTCCAAAGATAAATTTTTCACTTCAGAAGCAGGTCTTAGAGATGCTTAAAATCAGGGGGCGACCGGACACTTGCGATACCATGACTAAATATTTTAAATTCATTGCAAGTACTTGTCATACGTATGTACTTTACACAATTTGTCATATGTAAATACTTAGTGAATATGAAACAAAAATATTATTAATCATTGAGGTTTTTTTTTTTTTTTTTTTTTTTTTTGTGGGTTTGACAATTTGAAAATACATGGGCAGCCAATGTCCTAGGAACGTTCTTTCCCCTTTTCACCATTTATCAAGACCTGTTTAGAAATTTGTAGCAAATAAATTTGAACCATCTTACCATACTCCAGGAGGTTAATGAACATACATCACCCTACCCAGGGGGAAAAATTCTTTTGTATTCCCTAGTCTGTTATCTGAAAATTAACAAAGATGATCCTCTAAAGGCACACTTTCAAACAAGCAGTAGTTTGCGTTGCAATGCCAGCTGAAAAGGAGCAGAAGTGCATTCCTTTTTCTCATCTTTTTAAGTGAACTTTACTTTTTATGATCTTGCTGCAACTTCACTATAGAGAAAGGGTGACTGATAATGCCATAAATCTCTTCTTTTATTTTCCCTGCATACTGGGGATTGGAAAACACAATGCAACTTTTCTTTCTGCGGGGGTTGGAGGGGGATGTCGGGATTTGATGAATAAGCAAAATCGAAACTGATCAGCCAGAGCATTTCATAAGTGAAATAAATGCTTATTTTGCTCTTAAAAGAAACAGCATATTAAACTTTTTACAGTTTCCATTCTTGTTTGCACATGTTACTTATTTTTTACATAAAATATAACAAACTTTTAAGAAATAAAGCTTACGCAATGCTTATCAAGGAACGCTCGAAGTAACGACGTTTTTAGTTCGACTCATTGTTGCCGCATGGCGAATCTTAATAGCTATTCAAAATATTACATCATGCTGCCACTTAGTAAGTCTTAATAATTATATAGAAACATTAAATTATGTTCCACTACAGATCTGCCATCATGGATGTGCATTAAAGAGGGTTCAGTGCATTTGCAAAAGGGGAAGTAGAACTATACATAAAACATAAAAAAATACTAATGTAAATATTTCTTAAAAGTCACATGACTGATATCTATATGTGTTTCAAAATTGGCTGTAATATATTTTTGAAAACAGGTTAGCAGAGATCAAGCCCTTGATGTAATCAGGCAAGAAGCTGTAGAAAAAGTCGTAGGTGCGTATAAATTTTTAATTGTATAGTTACCTACTGCATTGGTTCAAGTATAAAGTATCTTTACATATATGAGTTTAACTCATTGAAATTGTTCTGCCAAAATAAATAATTAAAAACCTGAAAGCTTTCAGATTTTATATTACACCCAAAGAGACTTTTTTTTAACATTACATGTGTTACCTTATTTATTAAATATCATGTTCTTTGCACTTAAACCATAAAATTCAATTCATCTGCAATACAGTCAAAAGTCGTTAATTCAGACACCCATAATCCGGAATGATCTATAATCTGGACCTCAAAGCTACAAACGTTCTGCGCATACGTTGACGCATGCGCGTAGGCGTTTATGTGCGTGCGTAAGACCTTTACGGCTGCGAATATGTTTGTGTGCATGCTCATAAAATGTTTACGCATGCGCGTTTAATGTATAACGGACGGTGTAAGCTAAGCTAAAATTATCTAATTCAGTTAATGTTGCAGATTGCATTGTTCCTTAATCTTCGAATTGGATCCTACTTATTATTTTTTGCACAGGGGTGTTTGTGCTCCGGGGAAACCCCAGAATTCCGGGGATTTTGAACTTCTATACCCGGAAATTCCAGGGATCGTCGTTCAAAAGGAAGTAAGAATAATGATGAATTATTTATTTTGATCTGGGTAATTTTGTTTGCTTTGAAAGCAGAAAACGGAAGGTCAGTGTGTGGTGAAAACTTTTCCTTTCTTTCTCCAAAGGCAGTGATAATGCGTGAAAAGGGGGAAAAAACTTTTTGGTTCTTTCCTTATTGCGAGTTATGACTCATTCCCCCGGTTCTCGAACATTCTCTTCTGGATTCTTTTCGGTAAGTAGGCGCGGCAAAAAAAAATGGGAAAGACTTCGTCCGACCAGATGTGCGATGACGTGACTCTGGGTTCAAAGGTCTTATCTCTCCTGGCATGGCGCCAATAAGTAGAGAAGGGGGATTTTTTTGCCGTATTAGCTATTTGTCATTGATCGCTTGTTAACTTTTTTTTCTCCGCTGTGTAAAATTTTCGTTTCATTTATTGATGCACATGTAAATTTTTCGTTTTGTTTATTGAAATATTTTTTGATTTATGTACGCAAGAGAATTTCACTATGAAATTTCTCGATATAAATAGTGATATTATACAATTAGAAGAAGGTGTCCGAAATACATTTAGGTGGAATTGGATTGAACGGAGAGATGGTAATGGGGATACCATCGGCAAATGGTGCAAGAAAATAAATGTTGCTGGACAAGCATATTGTGTTTTTTGTAACTCACTGCTGAAGTATGGTGGGGAAGGATTCAAGGCTTTCACAAATCATTCTAAAACTTTGACGCACTTAAAATATTCAAAGTGCATTAGACATTCAATGACTTTAAGTAATTATGCTAATTAAAAAAATACTGATGACTTACTGGAGACTGATGCTCGGCCATTTGATATAGTGACAAGAAAAGCACGCCAAGAGGTATTAATAACTTCGTTTATCGCCGAGAATTCTCTTTCTTTCAATGTAGCTCCCAAATTATTGAACTCTGCAAACAGTTGAGCCACGATCAGACGGCACTAAACTCGTTGGAAATGTCCAGGACTACTGCATGTTATAAGATGAAATATGGGCTCGCAAAAACTATTAAGGAAAATATCATTAAAACTTTAAAGGAGACTCCATTTTCTCTAAATTTGGATGAAAGTACTAGCAATGCTCAAGAAAGTATACTGGCAATATTGGTGCAGTTTTATGACAACAATCAAAATGAAGTTGTAGTTCATCATTTTGCATCTCTAAAGATGGAACCTTGCAATTCAGAAGCTGTTTTTAAAGCAGCTTGAAGATAATAATAGTCCATGGGCAAACTTAATTAGTGTATTAATGGACTCATGTAACACCATGCGTGGAAAAAAAAAAGGGTGTAGAAACCAGACTACGATCAAACAAAGCACCCCACTTATTAGATATTGATGGTGACACATGTCATACAGCTAATAACTGTGCAAAAAAATTTGCTTCGTGTTTTGATAGGTACTTAGAAGATTTGTTTGATGACATCTATTTTGATATGAAAAGCTGCAGTTAAAGAGAAAATTTTTTTCAAAATTTGTGAATCCCTTGCCATTAAAAAACTTACGCCCTTGAAGAGACCAGACCATAGGTGGGTGTACATTGTATGTGTTTTAGAAAGAATCAAAGATCTGTGTGATGCTCTTATTGCATTTTATTTTCACTACTTGGATAAAACTGATAAAGGGGATTATTTTTCTTATGTTGAAACTGTATACAATAAAAGAAATATTTCTGCAGCTCAAAAAAAAATTGTTGAAGGGCTGTATTCTTGCTTGCCTTCCCAACAACTCACAAAGCTCGGAAAAAAAGAATACTAAATGGGTTATTTGTTATGCAAAACAAAACTTTATTGCATATGGCATTATATTCAGCAGTATTACCAGAGTTCAACACATATATTAAATTATTTGAAACAAAAAAACCAATGCTTCATTTAATACATTCCAGTATTTATAAATTGATGGCAAAATTTTTCTCTTTTTTTATGAAGCCAGAAAATATAGAGTGCATATCTTATAATAATTTATTAAAGGTTGATGTCAAAAATCCAGAATTCCATCTACCTAGCAAAGTAATATTTACTGGGGCAGAAGCTTCCACTCTCCTGAAGAAATTATCAAAAAATCATCCAATAGCAAAAGAACTCCAAATTTCTCTGATGAAAGCTTATACTAATACAGCACAGCATATGAAACAGAAATTACCCCTTAAAAATTCATATCTGATTAGTTTTACAGCATTAGATTCAGAGCTTTAGATCCAGATCCAGAGGTAAAACCAGTACAATATTAGCTTTTGAAAATAATCATCTTTTATGTCCCATATTTTTAGTGATAATGAAAAGTCAAAAGTAGAAGCTAAAATAAGATTATACCAGAGTGACATTGATATCACCAAAGAAATGCTCTACACATCTGATGAAAGTGGAAATCAAGTCAAGTGTACAATTGATAAATATTGGTCTAAAGTTTTTAATTTAAAAGATGATTTCACAGATGATTATAAGTATCCTACATTGGCTAAATTGGTCAAAGCCTGCCTTAGCTGTTTCCATGGCCCATTAGTGGAATGTGCATTCAACTTAATGGATACACTTGTCACTGACTATAGAACCTCTCTTAAGATTGATTCCCTAGATGCAGTGCAGGCTATTAAATATGATTTAATGGCTTCTAAAGAAACCTTATGTGAAAAATATGGCTCAAAAAATCCAATGACTGATCCAATTCACAAAGATCTCTTACTGAATATGAAGAGAAGTTGGAAAACATATCAAGAGGACTTAAAAACATGTATTTCAGATGAGTCACCTATAAAAGTCTCTGAAAAACCTACATTAGCAGAAAAGCAAACTGCTTCTACCTCTGCATGTGCAGTTCTCGAGGAAATTTCTTCTTCAACTGTAAATGAGGAAAATAAAGTCAACCTTCCTGCAATTATGAAGTTCACCACAAAAGAAAGACAAGCCCACAAACATCAGAAAATAAAAAAAAAGCAGCAGAAATTAGATAATTTTTTTAAAGAATTAATTCAGGTAATTTAAAATATTTACATAAAATGTAGTAGTTTATATGTTTGAAAATGTATGGTTATTAATTTTGCAAAAAAAGTAATTCATTGAACTTTTATAATTAGGTCATTCAATACTTCATAATTGTACCGTAATTTCCGGAAGAAAGGCCGCATCAGCGTAAACGCCGCACTCGAGAAAAATGGCGGGAAAAAAATTAAAATTACACAGAAACGCCGCAATAGATTAAATTGCGCGTGACATCGTCGTGGGCCGTATAGATGCAAAAACTCAACCTAAGTCCTGATATATGACATACCAGTTAAGAAAAATGCATGAAATGAAACCATAACTCAAAAATAAATTAAAGGTAAGAAATGTATAGCTTCTGTGCCGTTTAGAGACATTTTCAAAAATTTTCCGCTCCATTCTTACTTAAAAACTATCCAACAAGTACTTGTACCCAAACTGATGGGATCTGCATTTGGCAGAATGCCAAGAAAAATCCATTCATGCTGAAGGGGAAATATGTCAGAGTTCGTTATTACGAGGCAGGTGGAGTCGTGTCCGCCTTTGAAAAAAATTGCAGAAGAGGCAGGGGTGGGGAGAAGATGGGTCCTGGAAGATTCATCGAATCACAGAGGAGAGAGACTATTCAAACTGATGAGAATGTTGATTTGAAAGGGGGAAGAATGTTATTGTTCTGAGATCTCGTTTAGGGTGAATAAGGCATGTAGGTCCATTCAAGGGAAAGAATGTAAACAAAATAACGTTTGCAAAAAGCAACTGAGTGGTCTTTTGTGTGCGAACAGCACCAGTCTATGCACAATGACAAGGCCATCCAAACTATGTACAATGACCATCATAGGAAATATTTATTTTCAGTGCACCTAAACACCGCATGGGTAGAAATGCCGCACCCGCTGAAAATTTAAGTTTTAAACACGTAAACGCCGCTGCGTTTCTTCCAGAAATTACGGTAATTTTTCATTTCTGTCCCCCCCTTTTCTCGAAACTCCAAAATATCGGTAGTAAGTCCGTAAAAGTTTCAGGGGGTTTTTTTGGGTCCCACAAACACCCCTGTTTGCAGACTGTTAGAGCAATTTTATAAAAGTAAGCTTAAACTTTCGATTATATCAAATAGAATTTCCGATATATGTTTGTTAACATGTAAAGGTTCTAAAGCAAAAGTATGTTTCGAAATCCGAAATCTGTTTATCAATTTCACGCTGCTCGGCGGGGGGAACGCAGCGGCGCGCAATGAATTGGAAGTTGATCTGTCAGCACTATCCTTATCTTCAGGGCAGATGTTTTTATTTTATTTGGCTTATAATTCCTTACCAAATGTAGTATTTCATCTCGATGAACTCCGTCTTTGATATGATTTAAAACAAGTTCCTCGTCATTATAATTCGC